AAAATAAAATACTAAAATAAAATAGATAAAATAAAATAAATCGCGGGAAGAGAAAGGGTTAAATAAAATAAAATAAATTAAATGAATAAAATAAAATAAATAAGATGAATAAAATAAAATAAATAAAATCAATTAAAATAAAATAAATAAAATAAAATAAAATCAATTAAATGGATAAAATAAAATAAAATAAAATAAAAATAAAGATGTGTATATATATCTACATATATAGAGGTGTATGTATATCTGTGTACGCGGACACAGCGGCAAAATAAAATAAAATAAAATAAATAAATAAATAAAATAAAATAAATTAAAATAAAATAAAATAATAAAATACAAATAAATATGTGTGTATATATCTATATCTATATCTATATGTATGTGGATGTGTGTACGCGGACCCCGTGGCAAAAGAAAGGGCAAAATAAAATAAAATAAAAATTAAAATAAAATAAAATAATAAAATTAAAATAAATATGTGTGTATATATATATATGTGCGTGCATCAGTGTGTATGCGGAGAGAGAAATTCCAAACTAAAATAAAATAAAATAACATAAAATAAAATAAAATAAAATAACATAACATAAAATAAAATAAATATATATATATATAGGTGTATGCGAACACCCCTGCAAGAGAAATTCCAATATAAAATAAAATAAATTAATTTTAAATTAAAAATATTTATGTGTGTGTGTATGCGGACACCAGGGCAAGAGAAATTCCAAAACAAAATAAATTAAAATAAATAATAATAATAATTAAAAAAATTAAATGTGTGTACGCAGACACGGCGGCAAGAGAAATTCTAAAAAAAAAAAAAAAATTTAAAAAAATATATATGTACAGAGAGGAAATTGAAAATGGGTGGGTTAAAAAAATTAATAATAATAAATAAATAAATAAATAAATAAATAAATAAATAAATAAATAAAATTGAAAATTGGGGTGTTGAAAGAATAATATATATATATATAAATAAAATTAAAAATTAATAAAAAATTTTAAAAACTGGGAACAATAATAATAAAAATGGAAGTAGCAGAAATGAGAAAAGGTAAAAATTGGGAAGAGTAAAAAAGAGTTGGGAGTGGGAAAAATAAAAAGGGAGGGGAAGGAAAAAGTGACAGGGAATGGGATGGATGCAAAAAAAAATGGAAAAATGAATTAAAATGGGAAAATGAGAAATAATTAAAAGCGTGTGGTAAAGAGGAAGGCAAATAAAAAACGATAAAAAGTAAAAATAACAAGAATAAAAATAAAAATAATAAAAAGTAACGGTAATAACGACAATAAAAATAGCGCTTATTTTTATTGCAATTATTTTTACTTTTTATCATTTCATGTTTTATCTCTATGTTATGTTTACTTTTTATCATTTTTATTGTTAAAAAGCAAAAAAAATAATTAAAAATGTAAATGTAAAATAGCAAATGAAAATTAAAAAAAAAATAAAAATTATAAAACATCAGAATTAGGGGCAATGATAAACCCGAAAATGATAAAATGTAATAAAAGCTTAAATAATTAGAAAAAAATAAGAAAAATCGGCTGAGTCGTTAAACTTAATTAATATAAGAAAATAAATTAATACAATTAAATGAATGTAATAAAAATGATGTCATAAAAATGATATAAGAGACACTTTTACAACAGAAAAATTATAAAAATTGATAAAACCAACGAGAAGGCAAAATTGAAAGGATTACAGGAAAAATGACAATAATTAAATGAGTAAAAATAATTAAGCCGTGAGAAAAGGATAAAGGGAAGAAGAAAATAAAAAGAAGAAAATTAATAAATAAAACAAGGACCAGAAGAAGAATGAGAATAAAGAGAATTTTTTTAAAAAACGGGGTTACAAAAGCAATTAAATAATAAAAAACCACGTAAAAAAATGAGAAATATTTAAAAAATGAGAAATATTTAAATAACGAAGAGAGCTGAACAATGAAAATAAACTGATAATGACAATAATAATGAAAATAATTAAATAACGAAAATCATTAAACAATGAAAACAATTAAGTAGCGAAAACAATTAAACAATTAAAGTAATTCGATAGTAAAAAGAATTAATAAATTAGCTTAATAATGATGAAATTATTTATATTATAAATAAATTATGAAAATGAATCGATAACGAGAATAATTAACGACGGAAAAAAATCAAACGAGAAAAAAGAAATAAAATAAATAACTAAATGGCTAAATACGGAAATAATTAAACAATTATACGAAGAAATAATTAAATAAATAACTAAATAACGCGATTAAAATAATTAATAACGAAAACGATTAAACAACGAAAGCAATTCAATAATAAAAATAATCTGGCGACGGAAAGAGCTCAGCGACCAAAACGCTCTGACGGCGAAAATAATTTATTAACAGAAAATAATTGAGTAGCGAAAGCAATCAAGTGACGAAAATAATTAAATAACGAAAACGGTGAAATAACGAAAATAATGAAAGAACGGAAAATAATTAAATAACGAAAACGGTGAAATAACGAAAATAATGAAAGAACGAAAATAACGAAATAGCGAAAATAATGAAAGAACGAAAAACGATGAAATAGCGAAAATAATTAACGAAAATCGATGAAATAGCGAAAATAATTCAAGAACGAAAATCGATGAAATCGCGAAAACGATGACATCGTGGACGCCGATAAATGATGGGGCGATCATGGATAATTAATCGATGAAAACCAATCAAACTCATCGAACCAATGAAGGGGCGGAACCTCGCAACCCAAAGCGGAATTTCCCCGTCTTGGCGGAGATTTTTGGGGGGAAATTTTTGATTTTTTTTGGG